ATCACATCTGCAGGATGGGAAGTCAACAAGGCTTCCCTCCCTGCTATTGGAGAGAGACTGGGAAAGTAAACCTGTGTGCCGGAAAAGCTTTGCTACGTCCTGGCCTGGCCTGGGGCACAGGGAGAAGTTTTATTTAGTTTGATAACTTTATGCTCCACTATTCTGTGATGTTCATATTTTCACACACATATTCATATATGTATATAAAGAGATGGATCATTATTGATAAAATCTTAGAATCAGATAGTATGGGATAGAACAATCTTAGTCTTTGTGGAAGTCAAACACTAGAACTTCTAGACTCCTTGATGCAACATGACTTCAAGCTTCTATAACATTGAGGTTAATGATGGTGTTTCGACCCACACCGAACACGGGACAGCAGCAAGCACAGCTGAATATCTCACTCGGTGATCTTTGAACAAAGAGGGAGGTGTCGTTTTATAAAGAACTTTTCACATTTAGTTTTCCCAATAATTCCCCCGCCATTAGAACATACTTGTTCTGTACATGGGAAAGTTCAAGTTCAGAAAAGATAAGAAATTTATCTGAACCGACTTTGCAAGTTTCAGAGAAATTGGAATTTAGGTCTAAATTTCTAAGGCTTCTTCTGTTCTACCATGCACACCCCGTGATATTTTTTTCTCAAATGAAATTCAATCACTTTTTAATTTAGATTTTTTCTGTAGTATTTTTATTATATTCTATCCAAGTATTCAAATTTATCCATGAGTTGAAAGGCTAAGTAAAATTTGGACCCACTTCAATAGACTGTTGGGAAACAGTCACATCCAGCTCTTTGTATGGGGTGGTGATGTTTTAATGAGCTTTCCAGAGACATTTAGCATACACAGTTTAATATCCATTCATTCTGTTTTTCTTACAACATTTGTTACTCAGATTTACTGGCATGGCTTTTCCTGCTCATAATTTTCCCCAAATACTCCTGATTTTTAAAAGAAGCAGTAAAGGGAGGATAAGGCTAGCAAGGCATGGGGGGTTGCTATGGATTGAGGCTCTAATGAGAAACCGGGGAAAAGAGAAGAAAAGAAACGACCCAGTTTCTGAATTTTTCATTTCTCATGGCTCAATTCTCATTTGTTGTGTCTGGATCGCATTCTGTCTCCCACTTCACGGCCTGATACTCGTTTCTAATCCACATTTTAAATAAGCTATCTGAGTTCTCATCTTGGTAAATGTCAAAGGAAGAGGAGAGATTCCATGCACCCACTGCATCCTAAAACCCGTTGCCAAATCTGTGAATCTGCCACTGCATTCTCCTTCCCCAGGAGACCATAATTTCATTATCCATGAATCATCACGTCTTAGACTGTACCATCCTTGTCAGAGAGCCCCAATAGCACCAGCATTCAGCTGGCTGTAAAGGAGGGAGGGAGAAAGCTCTGGGGCAAAGCACAGGTCACTGACGGAATCAGTAAACTGGAAGGAGTGCTGATCCCTGAATAGTAAGTCCCCCCCCCACCTCCGGAAAGCTCTAACATACCCACCAACCAGTAAGGAGATGATTCTGATTCTTTCAACATCATTGCTGGCATATTTCAGTATCCTTCCCATGCAAAATAGTAAGACATTAAATGAAAATATAATCTGGTGGCTAACACCAATAAGTACAGTGCTTAAAACACTGATAATTTATTCCTATTGCAGTAGGATTTTGTTTATTTTGGGGCATTTATTTCTAGCCCTAGTACCAATTTCACAGCTTGTCTTTCTAACATTACTAAGAAAGTCAGTAGGCAAAATAGAACTTTGCTAATGTACATGATAACTATATTTCCAAGAAAAATTGACTAAAGTTCAATTCCGATACATAGGTTTTATATATATACATATTACATAATATATATGTTGTCAATATGTTCACAAAAGAATTCAGAATAAAAAGCTACATGTGTACGAATAGTTGTGGTTAGTCTAACTGGCCACTAGAGGTCAGTGCTACTCCACGGAAATACGAATTGCTTCCGACTTAGTTGATTCACCAAATCAAGTAAAATGGTTTAAAATCTTTGAAAAGATGTAATGTCAACATCCTTGGAAGGCAAAAGTCATTTAGGATGAATACATCTTGCATAACATTGTTTAGAAGACTCTGGCACCGGACTTGATCCTTCTGCGCTACCGCAGTACACAGTGTACCGAGACTAATAAAAAATGGAAAACCCCACAAACATGCAGTTCAAAGAGAGCAAACTCCACTTCCTCTTTGTTTTGACAAAACATTAGAGAGAACCCATCCTGCATGGTGCAGCTCAACAGGTCAGGATGTTTAACTATTTTCATCTTTGAGGGAAAGTGGGCAGTTCTTGTAATTTGCAAAAGAAGATCGAACACCAAGAATACTTGTCTAATATACCATACGCTTTAAATATTTATAAAAACCAGATTCATCGTATATAGTCTGGAAGTGCCATGAGGCAGACATGAGGGCAGAGGCTTCTGCTGAGGAGAGTATTTGTCAGCTGACTCCTCACATTCACTGCTGAGGTGTGACTAACACACAGGAGTTGCAAATTTGTTCTGAGGACATATTGAGACCTGGGAAAGCTTCCTTACCAAGGGGCAGACATATGGTTAAAACTTTTTCTCATAATTCCGTGCCTTAAATCAAAATGCGTTATGCTAATCCAAGGCATTGCATTTGGTTTCTTCTTAATTACTAAAATCGTAAGTAAAGTCAGGCATTAAAAAAATGGACAGTCTTCAAAATGTTCATCATTCATTTAATATTATACCAGTTTTACACACTGAATGATTTTTGAATTTTAGAAATACTTTTCAATACAGCACATATTTTATGTCTTAATAGCACCACAGTACCAATCATTTGCAAGAATTTGAAAAATATTAGGTATCATTATACTTTGACTGAACATATCTGTTTTCTACGACAAATGAGGCAGAAGATCACGTTAAAGACTAGAACTGGGTCTTTCCACTTTAACAGTACATTTAATTAATACAGTCATCTTTGCAGTACAGAGAAAACGTGAGTCTGACCAAAGAAAACGTCTTTTTGAGATGGAATGGACATTGTAGAAAAAGACGTCAACTTACAACTTCAGTGAAAAATGTCACAGTAAACTAGAAATCCAGTTCATAATTCTGTAAGGGTGCACCTGCATTATTAATTGGTTGGGGATCTCTAACCCTTGGCATTAATAAATGCAGACACAGCAGTTAGTCATGGATAAACATACTGTAAATGTTGATGCTTTTCTGAACTGACATCTACTTTCATCAAAGTACCTTGATATAAATCCACTTTGAATGTTTCTTTCATATTGCTTATAGAAATATGGTTTTAGTCATCTGGATTCCTTGGTATTATATTCCATGGTGATTTACCTAGATTTTTTTTTTCCTTCTCAAACTGTGGAAGACCTCCCTCCACACTATATAAAAATACTGGTCAAAAATAGCCATTCACTTTTCCTTGTTTGTTTGTTTGTTTGTTTGTTTTTCTTTCTGCAGCCATTCTGTTTTGAAAGAACAAGGACATGGTTAAAGACGGGAGGCCTGATAATCAGTTAGATGAAAGAGCCTCAGTGTGGTGATCTTTGATTTTTTTTTTCTCCTCCAGTAAAACTACTGTTCATTTTGGAGGGTCAAAAGGGATGACAGACTAAAGACACTTATCGAAATCCTCAATGGAATATAGCTCATGTGCCTTCAGTACAGAGGCTATGATATCTATGCTGCCGACCGTGAACTTTCACCAATGACATCAAAACATGCACACAACTAGCAGGTTGCCAACCAGGTTTTCTAGAGAACTATACTGGTCGGTCGGTGAGTTTACAATATAGATGAACACGATGTCAACAAAGAGTTGCCTGAGGCATCCTTTTCAACAGTGCTGTTGGGGGAAGCATGTCTGATATGGAGCATGTTCTCTTTCCATGTCTGAGTGAAGTGTCAGTCATTAGGGAGTCTGGTGTGTCTGGAACATGTCATGGGACACTACAGGACAGATTCACAAACCCTGAACAGAAGAGCAGAGAGCTCATGATTCTCCTAAGCACACTGAGGGATGGAACTAAAACTGGAAGGAGAGATTCTGGTAAGGGCTCAGCCACATGCATGTAGCAAGATGCTTATGTTTGCAACCTTTAGACCTGAAAATCCCCTCCTTTCCAGTGGAGAAATCTTCATCCTTAAATTTGTTTACTCAGTTTTGGGGTTGTGTAATGAATCAACATGATTAGGAAATATACAGGCTTGAGGAAACAGACATTGTAACCCTTAGACTGATTTACAGGGATGGGTTTCAGAGATGTGGCTCAAACGCTGGGTCTCTACCACCCCTGGCCTTGTGCAGGGTCTGCCTGTGGCATTCCAACCCTGTGGACACTTTCCGTGTTTGCCTTACTGCAATCCTTCATCCCCACAGTCAGCTCACAGTCTGCTTTAACCCACTACCCTCTTTTGATAGCTTCCTGAAATGTTCTTTTGAAGCCAGGGACCGTTTTTAATGGCTCTGTCTCTCTATAATCAAGTCATCTCCCCAATCAGTTCGCCCCTCCAAAGACCTGGGATCCCTCATCTTTTTTTTCTGCATTTGTCATTGAACTGCCAATTACCCAGAGCTGTAGGATTGGTCCTACCAGATGGAGAATAACAGCAGGTGTGAGTGATCACACATGAAAGAAGTTTTGTCTGGAAACAAATGCAATGTTAATGAAATCAATAAAGGGTCTTATACAATAGGCATTACATTGAACCGGAGTGCAAGCTTCCCATTGATTGTGGTGTTTAAATTTCAATGGGTTGATTATGTATGAGAGAAAATGACCAGTATTATGAGTGCACTCAAAGGGACAGGGAAGGCCCTTGCCAGCAAGCAAGCACAGTGAGAGGGAGGGGGAGGGGAGGGGCAGCGAGTTCCCTTTAACGTCAGCAGAGTTCAATAAAGCACCACTTATTTCCTAGCTTTTAAGAGCGCTTAAAAAAAAAAAAAAAATCACAGTGGTTCATACCTCGCATTCCCTGGAGCCTGATTTGTTATAGGTGCAGGGTCCCGTCCCGTTCAGCAGCATCTCGCTGGTCTCGGTGTTGGTGGGTTTATAGTCTACATAGAATTCCTGGGTGCTGGGAGTCATTTGCTTGAGCGACTGTCTTTTCTTCTTCCTGTGCCTTCGCATGAGGGAGCGCTGCTGCAGCTGTTTCATGCTGGCTGGGTACCGCTTCCAGGACACGTAGATAACCAGCAGGATGACCAGTACCGACAGGAAAAGGGCCACGCTGCCGGCGATGATCTTATGGAAGGAGATGTGCTCGGTGTCCGCATCGGTCTCTGGGCTGGGCTCGGTAGCTCCCACCGTGGGGGGCACCGGAGGCTTGCTCTCGTGTTTGGGCCTGGGGAGCTTGGGCTTAAACGTCGGCTTTGGGAGAGCCCTGGCCAGATCAAACCTCTCCGTGGTACTTTTACCACAGATGCTGTAGTTCTTCACCGCATCGATCACATTTACGCCCTGGAGCTCTTTGGGACTGGCACAGATAATGGTATTCTCTCTCAGACCTTTAAAACTTTTCAGCCAGTTTACCAGGGAACAGATATTTCTGCTGCATTCCCATATATTCCCTGCGAGGCTGATGTCATTGAGGGATATCCAAGAATCCAAAATCTCTTGACCAATAAATGTGAGCTTGTTGGAATCCAGGTTGAGGCGCTGCAGATTGGGGACACACTGGAAAACACTAGGTCCACTGAAAGCTTCGATCTCATTCCCGGATAGATCAAGCCTTTGCAGTGAGCTCCAGGTCCAGGACATGGTCTGCCCTATGACACTGATTTTATTCCACTGCAAGTACAGATTCTGAAGGCTCACCAGCCTTGGAAAAAGGGCCAGGTTGAGCTTGGAAAATTGATTGTGCTCCAGGTGAAGTTCTTTCAGTCTGATCATACCAGCAAATACATTCCTGGCTAAACTTCGGATCCTGTTATATCCCAGATCCAAAAGTTCCAGGTTGCGACAGTCTTGAAATATTCGCACAGGGATGGTTCTCAAGGAGTTAGAGCGTAAATGTAAACTGAGCAGCTTCCTCAAGCCCCGAAACTGTTCAGATCCCAGGGAATGGAGCTGATTATAGGACAGATCCAAGTTCCGTAAATTGGTCACAGGTCTGAAGGTATTGTTAAGAAAATAGGAGATTCTGTTGGAACTCAGAATCAACTCTTTGAGTCTGCGTATTCCATTAAAAGCATTCTCATCGATATTGCTGATATGGTTGTGGTCAAGGTAGAGCCAGGTGAGCTGGTTGAGCCCTTTAAATTGATTATACTTAAGTTTCTGAAGGCTGTTATATCGAAGGGACAAACCTAAGCAACCAGCAGATATACTTGAGGGTATCTCCTGCAATTTCTGGGATTCACAATATACCATTTTGCCTTCACACCTACAGCCCTTGGGGCATCCTCGTTCAGCAGAAGAAAGCATTGTCAGTAAGACAGTGGGGGCTATAACCAGTGCTACAGCTGATCGGCTCAGTAGCCTAATTACATTGAAACCTGGAAATAAAAACAACTTCGAAAAGTTATCCCCCCAAAAGAGAATGCATTTGTTTTTCAAATCAAGTAAAACTAGCCATCTATTTTCATGTTTAACAATGTAAACATTTAGATAACAACATTTAACATCCAATATCATGTCTTTGCCATTTAAAGAGATTATCTTTAGTATATTTTTAAATAGTTAAAAAAGGAAACATGCCCACTGATCAATTGAATTTATAGTCTTAGACCAGAGCAAGGTATTCTTAAAAATGATTAAAGCAGAATTATTGCATAGACTAGAGGTTTTTTTTTTAGAAGGAAAGAAGAAAAATGAGAAAACATACCCATCCTTTGTTTTGTTCAAAGGTTCTCCTCAGGTCTTTTGCTTTGGCTTAGGGGCCACTTGCATGACAGCCCCTGTCAGCTGCAGTGTAGTGAGTCAGGGCTCGCTGACACCCAGGAAGAAAAATTGGACCCCTTGGGAGATGGACCGATTTTGGAACATTATTCTTTGCCAGCCATGCAGAACACTCCAAGAACAAATAAATCCCAACACCGCATTCACAGCAAAACATCAGAATCTTCCTAGGTAATAGGGTCTTCATGGATATTACGTTTTTGCATCTTTACAGTTTGTGTGGTGTGTGTGTGCGTGTGTGTGTGTGTAAAAGGGTGTTAAGAAAAAAACTGGCTTCTATAATTTCTTCTTCTCAAAAATCATAATGTATTCCTCCTCCCAACGTGGGTCTACCTGTCCTGCCACATCTGTATTCCATAGCCCGGCGTGGTGGTGAGCGCCCAGTTCAGCCACCGAGCTGCGTTGGAGCCCAGAGGCAGGAGAGCCCGGTACCGCGAACACGCTCAGCTCACTCCTGCAGACCTCATTCTGAAAGCGGCTCGGACTGTTGCTTCGGTTTCCGTGAATGCAGTCTTATGTAAAGCTGCCCCCAGTGGTGAGGAACACTATGGGCATGTGCAGAACTGCCTCTCTTTTATCTTGCAAATGAGCAGGCTCTCGGCTAGAAAATGAATGATTCTTTTGGGCGGCTCAGTAGGAAGTGAGCGGTCCCCTTAATCAATAACTAGCAACATTTCCCGTGATTTCCAAGTCTTGTTTTACAATTTGGCAACATCTGTACTGTCCGCGTCTGCTTGATAGCTAAACGTGTGCTGCTCGGATTTCTAGAGCTTGACATTAAGTTCTCAGATCGAATGTCAGTTTTTTTCTTAATCTCAATGTAGGCTTTGAGCTGAAATTTATAACAGGAATTTTTGAGCTCTTCACAGAGCTGCTTTACATGCGTGCCCCGTTGACCTCTTGGAGTCACAGTGATTATCCTGCACAAGGTGTCTCGGAATGCTGGAACACAGGGGGTTTAGATTAGAGAGAATGACTCACGACACACAAATTAATAGTCTAATAGCTTTCCTGATTTTTCCACAAAAGATATAATTGGCTTAATGGCTTATGACTGGATTTGTTTTAGTTGCTTTTTTTTTTTTTCTAAAGAAGGGAAATAAACCATTTTTAGTGCTAGTATTAGAACCCAGAGATCATTTGGATCACAGTTTATTGATGCTGCTGTTTACTACACTAATAATATTTATTGAGTGCTTTCTAAGAGCTTTAAGTGGACCATCCTGTTTTATCTTTTAACAATAGTAGTGTGCTGGTCCCATGGCCATCTTCATTTCAACGGTGAAGGAACTGGGACTTAAAGAGGTCACTTACTCAAGGCCAAATACCAAGGAAGTGGTAGAGCTCAGATGGGGAACCCAGTCAGTTTTATGTTGATTCACAAACCACTAGGGAATCCTGTTCAACAATATTGCTATGTTCATTTTAGAAAATGAATCAAGAGAAAATAAGGTAGATTCAGAGACTGGGAAATTGTATTAACCAATTCTTGTTTCCTAAAACAGGACCATACAAAGTTCATTTGTCAGAGACTCTTAGAGAAGCATTCTGAAATCTAAGGAGGAAGAAGTAGCCAGTCTATGATTAAGAACACAAATTTTGACACCGAGATGCCAATCCTTACTAAAATCAGCTATGTCACTATAGACAGCTTATTTGCTTTCTCTATGCCTCAGTTTTTTCACCTGCAAAATGGACATGACAACAAAATCACTTCTTAGGGATCTTTAAAAAATTAAGTTGTCCTTTTTATTTTTCTTTTTGATGATGGTACTGGGAATTGAACTCAGGACCTTGTTGTTTAAACACTGTACACTGAGCTACAGCCCTAGCCCTAAGTCATTGTCATATCTTAAAGTACTTACAACAGTGCATAGTACATAAACCTATATATAGTATTAAAAATATTAACTCTTCCATTTGATGATATTGCGTTTTGTTTAGTATTGAACATTGACTGTATTAATTGTCCTAAACTCACATAAAAACTACTTCGGTAAGAGTTCCTTGATGAGCAGTGACTGACAGCTGACCCCAAACTTAGCTGAAGAAATATTGGTAGCTGATTACTGCTAGGTGAGGACTTGCTGATCTTCCTAATTTGAGGGACTCTAGATAGGCTGACTAGACCTTAGTAGGTGAACTTGCAGAGAGGAATGTCTGGGACACTAACTTGACACAAAAGGCCTTAACACAATGACAGAGCATATGAATTCCAGTGTGTGGGGGTGTAGGTCTATGGGAGGGTGCGAGTGGGGAAGGGCGTATAAAGATGATTAAGATTGATTGAGATGTTCTGCATGAAATATACTGAATTTCAATAAAAACAAATTAAAAAGAGAGTTCCTGAGACTCCAGAATATATTTAAAATGAACATTTTAGGTCTATGGACCATAACTGATAATTAATGTTTGATGATTTTCTATCCTAAAGCAGAACGTGATAGCACCTGGCATGCAGAGTCAGCACTCTATATAAATATTATGCTAATCTTTAGAATATTTGCTTTATTAGTTTTTATTAGTTCAACTGGCTGTGTCTTAATTAGGAAAACTTTGATATTATCCTATGGTAAAAAGTTTGGTAAAGGTTAGACATGATGATCCAAAAAATGTTTCCAGACATAGGACAATTCCTTGAGCAGTATGTTATTAATAGAGTAGTGGTTCCCCTAAATGTACCTGTGATGTGCACGTATCTAAGACACCCAGTTATGTTAAAAACAAGCATTTCCTCGTCTGTATTCCACGGTTCTGATTTAGGGATATGGAAGAATGGTTTTCTTTCTGATGGACAAGTATGATTAAGAGACTCACTTTAAAGTATAAAGGAATGATTAAAAATAATGAATGTTGCCGGGCGTGGTAGTGCACGCCTTTAATCCCAGCACTCGGGAGGCAGAGGCAGGTGGATCTTTGTGAGTTCGAGGCCAGCCTGGTCTACATAGTGAGTTCCAGGGCAGCTGGGGCTACAGGGAGACCCTATCACAAAAAGACTGAAAAAAAAAAAAAAAAAAAAGAATGTTCTCCTAGCAGGCAGAGAGAGAACAACGACATATAATATGGAGACGTTACATCGTAGGCCACTCTTTGTTTCAGTTATGCTAACATGACTCTGGTTGGCACAGTATAGGTGCATAATAGCTATTTATTGAATAAATGCAATAGATGTAGTATAAACCTGTTATGTAATGATTGTCTCATTCACTTATTGAGCCCGGAAGATGTCCTCTGTTAGAGAGATTGAAAATATGGAAGAAAGTATTCTAAAAGGATGTGTTCGAAAGGCGAGAAGCTAGGAAGTTGGGAATGGAGCCATCACTTGTCTTCAAAATCAAACCATAAATTTCACAAGAAGAGTAAACATGCTTCTAAGTATTAAACTCAGCACAGTACAGAAGGGTAACACAGAATCGTTATTATTTAACATCTCAAATGGGACCTCACAACTTGCATGCTCAAAAACACCCAAAAGGAATCATATTTATAGCTTCTTATTTCTCGAGCGTGAACGGCTCAGATTTTTCTGCTCACTGTCCCTACTTCTCAGTGGGACTTAGCTGTCAGGTCGTCTTGCTTGCCTAACAGCTGTAGAGGGCCACTTTAGCATGGCTGGGGGACTCATCAGCTTTGTGCTGCTGGTCCATGTGCCTCACACCCTGTTACACAAGCACAAAGGAGGCCTGGGGAACTTTATTCTCTGGCTCTGCTTTTCCTAGGAGAAATATGCTTGGGCTATTCATGGTAAAGCACATTCTTTCTTTTGTTACACACCTTGCCCTTGATTTTCTGGCTCCATAGTTCTAACTTCACGTTCCTCCTCTGTGTCTTGTAGTTGGCATTTCCTCTTAATGTTGACCACCTGTCTCTCAGCAGTAATCAATGGTCAGTCTTGCATTGGGTCAGCCTTGAGATGCTCTGAATGGCCGTAACCTTGGCATTAGCTCTTAAGCTGGTGTCCCTCTAGGTTTGTCCTTGTTCAAGGTAATGAAATACTCGAAGAGGGAAAATTATCAATCAGGCTAGCTGAGAAATCCCAAACAGAAAACACACAATAATAAGCTGTACTAAATCTCAAGGCTGCAGAAATTATTCTAAAGACATAGACTAGTACCTCAGGAAAGAAAGCTGTAAGTGGTCCAGTGATTTTCTGATATGCTTTTCAAAGTTCGTCCTCTTTTCTTGTTGACCACAGCCAGCTGATTATTCCAGTTTTGCCTTTCAACACAGGCAATGTCTGCTTCATTATGAAGTTAGCAACTTCTTGTGTACTTGACACCACATCAAGGATTAACCATAAACTACCTGACAAGTTAAATTTCCCCACTGCATCTAAGGCCTTATGATTTATACAATTATTAAACCTGGTGCCATCTATCTAAACACTTTTTATTGCACTTGCAGTACTTCAAATCGCTGAACATATTTTGTTTAAAACGAGTAATAAATCAAGTCTCAGTATATAATGCAAAATTACAGTCCAATATGAAACCAAATCTAAAGTTGGACAAATGAGACATAAATAGACTGTATTGATACCTTCAATGTCTGGCCCCAGAGATTTCATTGATTTAACAAATAAATATTCTGAATACCCATTATGTGCTAGACCCTGTTCTAAACACGTGGATTTCGGTATACAAACAAAGGTCTATACCCTTATAAAATTTACATTCTAAATGAATAAGATAGACAACTTAAAAAGAAACATAAATAGTGCATTAAGTGTTATGGTTTGAATTTGAAATGTTCCTACAGGCTGGTGTTTTGGACCCTTGTATCCTGGCTCTTGGTTCTGTTTTGGAGGCTGTGGAATCTTTGGAGTAGGACCTGATTCTCAGGAAGAAGATGCTAGAGTTAGGCATTTGAAGGTTATAGCCCAACTGTTAGTGCTGTTCATTCTTCCTTCCTGGTCTGCTGGGATTTGAGGACCGCCACAGGGTCCCCCTGCCATAAACTCTATCACACCTTCCCACACCGTGGAAAACTGAGACTCTCTGAAATGGTGAGTCAAAGTAAATATTGCCTCCTGTAAATTTTTTCTGTGGATGTATTTTGTCGCAGTAAATCAAATGTAACTAACACTATTTACTTAGCAGGAGTTATGAAAGAAAGAAAAAAATGTAAGGATGATTGGGTGTGTAAGAGATGAAATGGATGTAGTTAAACAGGATATTTAGGGCTACTAAGAAAAAAAGGCTTCAGCAAACCCTTGGAGGAGATGAGTTTGTTGGACTTAAATTTCTATACAGAGGAGAAGTGGCTAGAGCAAAGCCCCAAGATAGAAGCAGGTCACATGTTCAGTGAACATCAAGGAGGAAACTGAGTCTGAGCTAGAGAAAGCATCTCTAGAGTAACTGGGGCTGAAGCCAGAGGTCCTGGGTACTGGGCTATGAAGGGCTTTTAAAAAAAAATTTTAAATTAAAAAGAAATTAAAAAAATTTTTATTATTTTTATTTTATGTGTATGCGTGTATTGCCTGCATGTAGGTAAGTGCA